CTAGCTTCAGCTGGCTTAGCCCTGGCTGCTTGGGAAGTGAACCAGTGTAGGGACGATTTCTCTGTCTGCTCTCTGTCTCTCTGCCTTTCAAATAAAGTGAAAATAAATAAAAATTAAAGAAGAGGAAACCTACTAAAGCTAATGCAATAAAAAAATAAGCAGGGGCCAGTGCTGTGGCGCAGCAGGTTAACTCCCTGGCCTGAAGCACCGGCATCCCATATGGGGGCCAGTTTGAGACCCGGCTGCTCCTCTTCTGATCCAGCTCTCTGCTATGGCCTGGGAAAGAAGATGGAAGAAGCTTCTGGCTCCTGGCTTCAGATTAGCGCAGCTCCGGCCATTGCGGCCAACTGGGGAGTGAACCAGCGGATGGAAGACCTCTATCTCTCTCTCTCTCTCTCTCTCTCTCTCTCTCTCTCTCTCTCTCTGCCTCTCCTCTCCTCCTCTGACTTTCAAATAAATAAATAAACCTTAAAAAAAAAAGAAAAAATAAGCAAAAACAGTCCTCTGTGTAGTTTTAAAAATTGAATTCATGGGGCCGGCGCTGTGGCACAGCCAGTAAAGCCGCCACCTGTAGTGCCGGCATCCCGTATGGGTGCCTGTTAGAGTCCTGGCTGCTCCACTTCCGATACAGCTCTCTGCTATGGCCTGGGAAGGCAGTAGAAGATGGCCCAAGTCCTTGGGCCCCTGCACCCTCATGGGAAATCTGGAAGAAGCTCCTGACTCCTGGCTTCGGATCAGCACAGCTCTGGCCATTGTAACCAACTGGGAAGTGAGCCAGTGGATGGAAGACCTCTCTCTCTGTCTCTGACTCTACCTCTCTCTGTAACTCTGTCTTTCAAATAAATAAAATAAATCTTAAAAAAATTGAATTCATGAAACTGAATAAAATGAATTTGCTAAAAACCTTCCAACAATGAAAGCTACAGGCCTAGATAGGGTCATTCTACCAAGCCTTTAAGGAAGAAATATTACCGAATTACACAAATTCTTTCACAAAACAGACAAGGAGGGGTTATTTCCTAACTTGTTTTATGAAGCCAGCAGAGCTAGACAGAAAGTTTATAAGGAAAAAATGCTCTATAGAACCATAGCCCTCAAAAACAGACACAAAAATCCTTAACCAAGTGTAGGCAGACAGTGCAGTCACACACACACACACACACACACACACACACACTTCACCTGCTGTGCTGCAGTGCCAGCGTCACACACACTTTTTTTTTTTTTTTGAAAGTAAAGTAGCACTTATTTAGGTTGGAAACCTCCTGCCGAGTGGCACAGAGGTGGCTTCCAGAGAGGAAGACCCGCAGGGCCAGTGGCAATGAGTTTTTAAGTACGACCTCGGGGACCAAACTGTCAATCAACAAGGAGGTGGTCACACACACATTAATAATAATAACCAAAAGCATATCGTGTCCTACTGGGATTCAGCCCAGGAATTCATAATTAAAAATATCAGCCAATGTAATTTGCTGATTGGAAAATGAAAGCATGATCATCTCAACAGATATAGAAAAGGCACCAGACAAAGAGGAACACCGGTCTGTGATCAAGAATCGAAGAAGCTCAGGATGGGGGAGTCACGCTCCCTGTGGTGAAGGGCATCGCGTATCGCATTCAGTGTCGCCTCCTCCGAGTCTGATCAGACGTGTTCTCCTTCCTTCCTCATCTTTCAGGACCTCTGCGCTTTCTGTGAATAGAATTCAGTCCTTTTGTCATCTGTCTACCGTTTGGGTGTATCTGATGGGTTTGTCATGATTGGTGATGGGTATGCCCTTTGGGCCCGAGTACTGCTTGGAGTGATATGTCCTTTTACCACACCATGTGAGGGGGTACTTTTGAACTTTGCTTTCTTTGCCTAATGGCATTTTGGGAAGTCGCACTCCACGTGAGTTTGAGATCTTTCTCGTTTTGTTTATAGCTTCACTGTACTGCATGGTCCTGCTGTATCATAGCGTAGCCTCTCTCAGGCAGGATCCTTTTCCAGTATTTTGCTACCACAAACAGTGCTGCAACTCAGATATGTATATTTTCATGTTGTTGAGGTGGCATCTTCAGGCTATGCTCCTAGAAGTTAAGGGAATACAGCATTCAGTTTTTGTGGGGAGCAGCTAGGACTAGACTAAGTTACTGGAATTAAGACTTATTCTATGCATCTGCTCTCCCACAATATGGCGCTGGGAGAGGAGGAAACAGCTTCTACCCAGCTGCCTCCAGTTCAACCAATAAACAGCAGGACTTGCTCCTGATTGGAGGAGAGCAGCGTACTCGGCGTGTGGGCAGCCGAGTTGGGATTGGCAGAGGAGGACTATAAAGGAGGAGAGAGACGGCATGCACGAGGAACATCTAAGGGGAACATCTAGCTGAAGGAACACCTGTGCAGCCCCCGAGAAGAGCCGGCCGGCGGTGTGCCGCTCCCCTGCGGAAGTGGGGAATGTGGCCAGGGGGAACTGCCCTTCCACGGAGGTGGAAGGGATAGTAGCCAACCCGGGAAGAACCAGCAGCAAACCCGGGGAGGGCCGAGCAGACGAAAGAACAGCGCAGGGACTTAGTGTCGTTCCTCCACGAAGAGGGGGAGCGACATAATGGTGCCGTGACTCGGATATGAAGCCTAGGCAGGGCTTAGTGTCGTTCCCCCATGAAGACGGGGAGCGACAAGTTTTGTCAGTTTTTGCCAAATTATTGTATATAAATTATTTTCATTTTTAGATAGTTAAATGTATCCATCATTTCTTTTATTGTCTCTGGATTTCTCTCGTAATTAGTTATAGTTTTTCCCTACACCAAGGTTAGAGAACTCACCCTTGTTTTCTTCTAAGACTTGTCTCTTTTTTTAAAGATTTATTTATTTATTCGAATGTCATAATGACAAGAGAGAGAAGGGGAGGCAGAGAGAGAGAGAGCTCTTCCATATGTTGGTTCACTCCCCAGTTGGCTGCAATGGCCCAGGCTGGGCCGATTTGAAACCAGGAGCCAGGAGCTTCTTCCTGGTCTCCCATGTGGGTGCAGGGGCCCAAGCACTTGGGCCATCCTCCACTGCCTTCCCAGGCCATAGCAGAGAGCTGGATCAGAAGAGGAGCAGCTGGGACTTGAACCGGCACTGCATTTACCTGCTACGCCACGTGCCGGCCCCTGGTTCTATTTTTTTTTATATTTAGTTCCCTCATCCATTTGTCATTTAACATGTATTGTGTGAGATGTGGATCTACTTTTTCTTGTTTGAAATGGTAATTGATTGTCTCGGCGGCCATTTGTTAGGTCATCATTGCGCCGGTGATTTCAGATGCTGCCTTCATTGGGTAGCAGGTTCTAGTCCTTGGATGCAGTTGCGTGCTATTGGATTGCACCGGTGTATTTGTGTGTGTGTCAAGCCCACCATTTTGACTAGAGAAGCTTGATAGCGCGGTGACTTCTGGCAGGGCTAATCCTGTCATAGTTTCTGAGTGTTTTCCTGGCTGTTGTTACATAAAATGTTAGTATTCACTTTTCTAACTCCATAAAATGAGCGGTTGGTATTTTTATTGAAGTTATACTTTTATAAATTAAGCTGGGGAGACCTGTAATCTTTTAATGTTAATTTATTTTTGGACGGCGCTGAGGCTCACTAGGCTAATCCTCCGCCTTGCGGTGCCAGCACACCGGGTTCTAGTCCTGGTCGGGGCACTGGATTCTGTCCCGGTTGCCCTTCTTCCAGGCCAGCTCTCTGCTGTGGCCTGGGAGTGCAGTGGAGGATGGCCAAGGTCCTTGGGCCCCGCACCCCATGGGAGACCAGGAGGAAGCGCCTGGCTCCTGGCTTCTGGAGCTGCCACTGGGGGGTGAACCAATGGAAAAGGAAGACCTTTGTCTCTGTCCCTCTCTCACTGTCCACTCTGCCTGTCAAAAAAAAAAAATTAATTAATTAATTTAAAAAAGGAAAGATTTATTTTTATTTATTTTGAGAGGCAGAGTTACAGAGAGAGGGAGACACAGAGATTTCCAGCTGCTGGCTCACTTTCCAAATCCCTCAGTATCCAGGTGCAGGCCAGGATGAAGCCATGAGCCAGGAGCTCCACTCTGGTCTCCCTCACGGGTAGCAAGGGGCAGAGTCCTGGGGCCACCTCCCACCGCCTTCCCAGTGCATTTGCAGGAGCTGGCTTGGAAGTGAGGCAGCCGGAGCTTGAACTGATGCTCTGATATGGCATGATGGCACTGCAAGCAGCAGCTTGACCTGTTGTGCCACAGTGCCAGCCCCGGTTTATATCTACTTCTGTGCTTTTCAGGAGTGTTTTGATATTTTCTTTCTATGGATTTTGCACACTTAAAAATTTATTCCTGTGTATTTAAGCTTCTTTGATGCAATTTTAAATGCAGGTTTCTTTATCATGGTAGTGTCTGTCTATTGTTTGTATATGAAAATGCTGTTCATTTTATATATTAATTTTATGTCCTGAAATTTTACTGAATTCTTGTGTTACTTGAGTTAGATTTATTATTAATTCTGAGTTTTTTCAAGTATGCTTTGTTATCTGCAATTAGGAATCATTTAAATTTTGTTGTTTTTTTAACCTATTCTTAAGCCTTTTATTGACCTCTTCTGTCTAATTCCATTGGCTAATACTCTAGTACAATGTTGAATACTTGTGGAAATAGTGAATATTCTTGCATTGTTTCTGATCCTCGTGGGAAAATGCCTCTAGTGGCTCCCCATTAAATAAGATGCAGGTTTTGACTAAGATGTGTAGCGTGCGCGCGCGTTTATGTGTAGATGGCTTTGCTAGAGAATTCTAGATGTTTACCTAGAACAAGGGAACAGAAATTAAGGCGAGGTTTCTATGAAGGCTGCACTTCATCCTCTGTCAGATTCTAGGGCAGCAAGCACATCACGTGAAAAGCTGGAAGGTTTCATTTTCGACTTGAGGACAGCAATGAAGTTTGCAGTACAGCAGTCACGTAGATTCGTAGGAATTGTCTGTATGCATTATGATCACAACGAAAATTTTACCCTTGAATTTGTCTTGTAGTGTGTGCTGTATTTGTGGAGTTTAAAGATTAATCATCCCAAAACGTTGTTTCTGCTTCGAGGAAATCATGAATGCAGGCATCTAACAGAGTATTTCACCTTCAAACAGGAATGTAAGTATGATCAGCCCAGAGCCTCTTTCGTTATCTCTGCACTATTCCAAAGTGAGTCCAACGTAAAGTGAAGACAAATACCCAATGGAATGCAGATGCTTTCTGAATTTTTCTTTCTGAGAAGAGCTAAGATTCCACTTTATAGCTCATTTATTTATTTTGAAAGTAACTTTTGAGTTTCCCCACATATGTAAAGTAAGAACTTTGGGATATTTTGAAAACATAGATAAGTCCAAAGAAGATTAAAAACTGTCCATAATCACACTGCCTAGAGATAATCACTGTTATCGCACTTTTGAGGATATAGTTTTCCATTTTTTTTTCTGTATGTATAAAAACTCATTATGTAATAGTGCACGTATGTATGTCTATATATTTTATATGAAATTGTGCTCATATTACCTGTACTGTTGAATAAATTGCTCTTTTAATATAACAGCATTTTCGATATTACTAAACAAATGCTATATTAGTTTTTTAAGTTTCCCATCTTATGAATTCATTCTGTATATGGCCAATTTATATCACAACTGACACATTTAGGTTGTAGCCATCAGTATGCACTGCTGGAATGGTACAAAAAATTTAATGTGTGGGTAAAAGTTTTTTGAAAAATGGAGTGTTACTAGATGATTTAAAATGCCATGAGCTTTAGATTTCTTTGATCAGAAACTAGGTACTCATAATTGGCTTTTTTAAAAGATTTATTTTATTTATTTGAAATACAGAGTTACAGAGAGAGGTCGAGCCAGAGAGAGGTCTTCTATTCGCTGGTTCACTCCCCAAATGGCCACAACTTTCAGACCTCTGCTGATCCGAAGTCAGGAGCCAGGAGCCAGGAGCTTCTTCCGGGCCTTCTATGTGGGTGCAGGGGCCCAAGGACTCGGGCCTCTTCTATTGCTTTCTCAGCCCATAGCAGAGAGCTGGATCAGAAGTGGAGCAGCTGGGAGTTGAACCGGTGCCCATATGGGATGCCAGCACTGCATGCCAGAGCTTTAACCTGCTGTGCCACAGCACCAGCCCCACATAATTGGCCTTTAACTAACATTCTAGATGATGGTGATCATGTTGGGGGTGGGGGCAGGAATCCTGCCCCAGGCTGTTACTTGAATTTTTGCTTCCTTCCTTTTGTTTCTTCTTTCCCAGGTAGATACCTGACAATGAGGTGTATATCTTCATTCATGTCTTTTCTTCAGAGATTTTCTTCCCCAGTTACTTTTTCTAATTGGAAATCTCATCATTTTACCCTCGTACCCTGCATTTTTTTTTCATGGTGTCTATCTGCACTTGAGATTTTTTTCTTTTTTTTTTTTTTTTTTTTTTAGTATTTTATGAGTTCCACATCTTCACTAGCACTTAGTATGTTTGGTTTTGTGAAAATGTTTTGAAGATTTATGTATTTACTTGAGAGACAGACAGGTCTTCATCCTCTGGTTAACTTTCCCAAATGGCTGCAACGGCCAGAGCTGCTCCGATCCGAATCCGGGAGCCAGGAGCTTCCTCCTGGTCTCCCACGTGGGTGCAGGGGCCCAAGGACCTGGGCCATCCTCCACCACCCTCCCAGGCCATTAGCAGAGAGCTGAATAGGAAGCTGAACAGCTGGGACTTGAACCACTGCCCACGTGGAATGCTGGCGCCGTAGGCAGACGCCCAACCCAGTATGCCACAGCACTGGCCCTAGCACTTGAGATTCTCTGTGTGTGTGTGTGTGTGTGTGTGTGTGTGTATTATCTTTTCCACCACCAAAATACAAGTCCCAGGAAAACAGGGACATATTTTATTCACTGTTTTCCCAAAACAATATTTGATTGCTCACAAAGATAATAAATATGGGTTGGAGGCTGGCATTGTGGCACAGCAGGTTAAGCTGCCGCCTGCAACACTGGCATCCCATATGGGCTCCAGTTCAATCCCGGCTGCATCACTTCCCATCAAGCTCCTGCTCATGTGCCTGAGAGGGCAGTGGAAGATGGTCCGAGCTCTTGGGACCCTGCCACCCATATGGGAGACCAGGGTGGAACTCCTGACTCCTGGCTTTGGCCTGGTCCACCATCAGCCATTGTGGCCATATGGGAAGTGGAACGGTAGATGGAAGATCTCTATCTTGTTCTGTGTCTCCCTCTCTCTCTCCATAACTCTGCCTTTCAAACGAACAAATAAATGTTTAAATAAGGCGCCGATGCTGTGGCATAGTGGGTGAAGCCACCGCCTGCAGTGCTGGCATCCCATATGGGTGCTGGTTTGAGTCCCAGCTACTCCACCTCTGAGCCAGCTCTCTGCTGTGGCCTGGGAAAGCAGTAGAAGATGCCCCAAGTGCTTGGGCCCCTGCACCCATGTGGGAGACCCAGAAGTTCCTGGCTCCTGGCTTTGGATCGGCACAGCTCCGGCCGTTGTGGCCATCTGGGGAGTGAACCAGTGGATGGAAGACCTCTCTCTCTCTGCCCCTGCCTCTGTAACTCTGCCTTTCAAATAAATGAATATCTTTAAAAAAAAAAAAAAGGCAGTTACAAAAATCCTCTAACTTCACAAAAGTCTGCTGTGCTTCCAAGAACCTATGATTTCCTTAAAAATACATAAATAAATATGTGTTGAATTAATTAATTTGAATAAATGAACTTCTGTGATTTCTTTGTTTGAAATAAATTGTCAAAAGAGAATTACTAGATCTGAGGGTGTACACATTTTTTTTGAAAGCCAGGATTAGAGAGGGATAGGCAGAAGCAGAGTCAGAGAGATTTCCCATCTGCTGGTTCACTTCCCAAATGACCGCAAATGGCCAGGGTTGGGCCAGACCAGAGCCAAGAGCCAAGAGCCAGGAGCTTCATCTGCATCTCTCACTTGGGTATGGGGCCATCTTCCACTGCTTTCCCAGGTGCATTAACAAGGAGCTGGATGGAAAGTGGAGCAACCAGGATTCAAACCTAAGACCATATGAGGATGCCGGCCGTGTGGGAGGAGGCATAACCCGCTGAGTTACAGTGCTGACCCTGAGGGCATACACAGTTTAAAGACTTTTGACACATATGCTAAACAGTCCTCTAACACACACACTCACTCACACACACACACACACACACACACTTAACCAGTATATACTCTTAAGACATTTTTATATTAAAATTTGTTTATATATTTTCTTTTTAATTGGAAGGTGAGAGACTTGGAAAGATCTTCTGTTCACTGACTCATTCCCCAAATGCTGGGATAGCCAGGCCTAGGCCAGGTTGAAGTCAGGAGACAGGAACTCCAGCAGGGTCTTCCACATGGGTGGCAGGGCCCGCTGCCTTCCAGGGTGCACATTATCAGGAAGCTGGAGTTGGAAGCTGGGCTGGGACTCAAACCCAGGCCCTCTGACATGGGATGTGGGCTTCCCAAGTAGCATCAACCACTGCACCAGATGCTGCCCCCTTTTGTATTTTTAAATTGAACAGAAAATACTTAAATAAACACAAAATTATACCTGTTTTGATACCTAAAATGTTAGTATTTTCCTCTATAAAATAAGGAAGCTAAACTAAAGCTCTTGGGTTTTATCTGGCTCTAAACTCTAGTCCTCTCTCCAAAAACCCTGAATATATAAAAATAGTGTTCATACAATTCATATTTGGATCATAGATTTACTTTGTGTCTCCTTTTTCTTCAGATTATTATCTAAGAGGGAGATATTATATTTAAAGTTTGACTCCTAAAATAATAGTTAAAATTTTAAAAAAACTTTGAAACTTTTTTTCAGAGACTCAGAGTTTATCCAGCCTGTACCATCCCTTCATTGTTTATTACCTCATAATTTCTTGGTGTTTCATATGCTCATATTAATTCTTGTTACCCTTCGCTTCCTACAGTGGAGGTGGTAGTTATAATGACAGCCTACCTCCGAGTAGGGCCTGGAAGGAAAGGTCATTGTTACAAACAAGAACTTTCAGAGTATGAACATTGTTTACAGTTACCTATTCCTCTGAGAGACACAGAAGGAGAGAGAGAGAGAGTGAGTGAGTGATGGGTGAGTGATGGGTGAGTGGGTGATGGGTGGGTGAGTGGGTGATGGGTGAGTGGGTGATGGGTAAGTGAGTGGGTGAGTGGGTGAGTGATGGGTGAGTGAGTGATAAGTGAGTGGGTGAGTGGGTGATGGGTGAGAGGGTGATGGGTGAGTGAGTGAGTGATGGGTGAGTGAGTGGGTGAGTGAGTGGGTGATGGGTGAGTGGGTGATGGGTGAGTGAGTGATTGAGTGGGTGATGGGTGAGTGGGTGATGGGTGAGTGAGTGATTGAGTGAGTGATGGGTGAGTGAGTGAGCGATGGGTGAGTGATGGGTGAGTGATGGGTGAGTGAGTAAGAGAGTTCCCATCCACTGATTCACTCACCGGGTGCCCACAGTGGCCCAGCCCAGTCCGCAGCCAGGAGCTATAGAGCCTGGTCTCCCCAGCACCTGAGCCGTCTCTGCCGCCTCACAGAGTCTGCATTAGCAGGGAGCTGGAGTCGGGATCCAGAGCCAGGCGTCAGACCCAGGCACTCCTGCGTGAGGCCCGGAGTCTTCACTAGCCGGTGGGCAACGCTTGCCCCCTGAACACTTTTCAGAAATTCCTCTGACAGAAAAGTCAGCCACAAGCAGGCAAGGTTCAGGTCGTTCGGCCCTTGGAGATCTACGAGAAGAAACACTTGAAACCAGCAGATAATTATCACAAGTTTTAAAAACTTAGTGTACTGCTGGTGGCTGTTTAAATTGTCCTAGACTGTTTGAACAGCAGCGTTATGGCATCTGTGAAACCTTCGGTGTGCGTCCCTTGCCCCAGCAGTCGGGGGTGTAAGACTTGATCCTGCAGATTGTGCCGGGTTTTTATTGCTGCACATTCAGTGGTTAAAAGAGCACATTTGTCGTCCTGCAGTTAATGTAAGCCGGAGTCCAGGCACAGTGTAGCTGCACTCTCTGCTCAGTTTGTTTTCTGTTGCTAATAAAATCATACCACACACACTGGATATGTTAGACAGAGAGGAGGTCAATTTT